ACTGGTCCAAAAGTTCCTCGCCGGTCGCAGTAGCCAACAAATTATCCACATTCACGCCCACCACTATAGTCCCTGAACCAATCGTCTTAGCATACACACACGCGTCGGTGAAGGACTGTATAAAGCCTGCCTGCACTAAAGTTTGATGCAGCAGCTGGTTCCAGAGCCTTCCAGATTGATTTAGCCCGTAGATGCTCTTAACAAGACGGAGGAACACATATTAATCGTCTTTTGCTCCCAACCGTCTAAGCTCTTCGCCAGGGATGCTCATGCCCTCGGGAACGCGTAGGTAAATTACAATGTGTTCCTCTTTATAGGCCTTTGGATAGGCACTGGGAACATCGTAGTGTCTTGCACGTATACCCCATGATCATGACACTGCCAATATAACATTACCGCTCGCCATGTCAAGAACTGCGGAGAAGGTCAAGTTATAGTCTCTTCCGAGGACTTGCTCATCTCCACCTGCGGCTAAACGGGCCTTATAGCGCTCGACAGCACCATGTCCATCTTTCTTCTTCTTTAAGACCCACTTGCTTCATAAAAGATGCATGTTGGGGCCACGTCTGATCGCTTCCCAAGTCTAATTCGCGACGAGTGAGGCGATCTCCTCCGCTCGCGCCTGTTCCCAGAGGTGCGAGTCTGCCACCTCGAGTGAAGCTTTGTAGGACTTGGGGTCAGGCAAGTCTGCGCACGTCTCTTCCCTGCCCCCACGACCGACAGAGCAGCGATGGGAGCAATAGTAGCATATTGCGCGGTATCACTCGCGACGTCATGCGCATCGGAATCGTTCGCGGTCTCAAGAGCTTGGTCATCTTCTTGCTGGCGTCTCGACTTTGTGCGTTGTCTTCCCGAGCGTCTCACACTCAAGCTCGATCCGTCGCCGCCGTCTTCGTGGTCGGCTGTTGTCAATGTGCTATTGACTCCTGTAATGCGGACACTTTCCTCCCGTCTTCGATTGCGCTGTCTGTCAAGCGCGAGTCTTTCTAAAGCGTCCTCTGCCTCATCGTGAAAACTTGTGAAAGTTGCTCGTTACCCGCAATCGTGAGAGTTTCAATCTGTCAGACGTGACGTGTCGTAATAACGGTCTTAAAACTAGGCAGATAAACCTGGTACCCTTTCGTCTCCTCATTTTTCCCGATAATAATTCCCACGGCGCTTCGATTACCCGTCGACTTGTTTGTAGGAGTCTGGTACACCGTGCACGGTGACCCAAACACTACGACATCAATCACACTGACTGGCTTTCCCGTTAAAAAACCCAGTGGCGGCTTCCTTCCCACATTTGCGCGCGTAGGCATACGGTTAAGGACATAAGCTGCGTATTCTGCGGCGTATCCCCAGAAGTTCATTGGTAATCCAGATCCAAAGAGCATGCACCGCACCATGTTCATTACGGTGCGGTGCATTCGTTCCGCCTTCCCGTTTGATGCAGACGCGTGTGGCTCTGTAACTTGCCTTCCGATGCCCGTGTTCTGGCAAAACAGGTCAAGGTTACGGTATTCGCCGCCGCCGTCGGTGCGCAAAATGTGCACACGTACATTGAACTGTCGCTTGAAGAACACCATAAAGTGTTCGAACTTTTTGCCGCTTCCCTTTTGGTTTTAACCACAAATATGCGGACATAATTGGACTCATGATCCACAAAATTAACCAAATACCGGTTTCTCTTGCAATCCATGGGGGTAATTGGTCCTTTCAAGTCGCTGCAAATTACGCCACCCACCACATCAATTGGTGCATTTTCACCGCTATCCTTTCGTGGCTGAGCAGTCTTCGCTTGTTTGCCTTCGGCACAAGTCGAACAATTCTCCCTGAATCGATCCGTGAGCTCAAATCCATTGCAAGGATCGGCAGCCATCCTCTAAACGTCACCATAGTTGAGGTATCCAAAGCGTCGATGAAAGTGACCTAAGCTCCCTTTCAAAACCGTTATCTCTTTAGGTGCGGACGCTTGAACTGCATTCATCACAACGTCGCTCACTTCCTTCTCTTCCAGTCCTGGAGTGCCTCGATCCACAACCAGGACATTGTTCTTGATCTGCACGTACATGACCACGCTGTCATCTTTGACGATGGCGTATCCCTTGCTAGTGTCTCGTAGCTTACATCATTGAAGCATCAACGTACCCAGAGATGTCAGGTTAATGCCGATCTCTGGCGCATAACATGTGCTCTTCAGCTCCACCCAATATGTCTCGTCATCAACTTGCACTCTTAATCTCGCCTTTCCACGTCTAGTCACTCTCAGCGTTCTCTTGTCCGGCAGGACTACACCCTCGGGCTCGTCGCATGCTTCCTATTCGTAAAGCATGCTCGAATCTCATACTAGGTGCGTGCTCGCCCCTGATCCACTATCCAGTCCTGGTCTGTAAGGTCTCCAGCGACCAGGCCCGCCAGCGCCCATCGTGGGTTTTCACTTCTGTCTTCCTTGTTTGGGCAGTTTCGCGCGATATGTCCCAATGTATCCGCAGATCACGCATGTTATTGTTTCGTTGTACCTCCCGTTGGCGGCTGCGGCGACTATGACTGGCCTCACTGATCGTCTTTCGTTTTACTCGTACGTTTGCGCCCATTGCGTTATTTCAAGCGCGTGGACCACGTAATCTGTTCTCTTCTTGTCATATTGACTAGCCAGCACTGTCCTAAACTTAGGACTCGCGTGCAGCACTAGGATTTCTGGTATCAGCGACGACGATGCTCCTGTCGCGTTTCGCACCGCCACAAGGTACAGGTAGTGCGAGTGCCGCGTGTCTCCACTGCTTTTCTTCGTTTTAAAGAATTCCGACACTTGCGCGCTTGTAAAGCTTCTAAAGAACGCTGACTCCATCTCCTCAAGCGCGTAGCTTAGTGTCGGCTCGATCTCCCACCATTCATCTCGAAGTCCATGAAAGAACTCTTCTGCCTCTCCACGGAGGCATCCTCTAAGTTTGCTAATCTTAAACTTCTCTGCCCATCGGTATCCACAAGCTTGCTGTGCCATTTCAATCTCGTCTCGAAAGCCTCGTGCCCAATGCTTAAACCCAGCCCCCAAGCCTTTATGTAGTTCCTGTCCAGTGAAGACCCTCATGTTGATCTTCGCATCCTTGGCTGGTGGGATCCGCATTCCTCATCCGCTTTCCAATATCTTATCTTCGTCGCGAAGAGCGCTCGCCCGCGAGGCTTCATTTGTTAGGGCTCTGGTTGCTGTCCTTAAGCTTCTGGGATTCTCTTTTGCCGTTGTGTGGACAGCCGCTTCCGACCTGCCGCGCGCATAGCCGCGCTTCTCTGCATCCCGCATCCTTTGCTCCATTTTTTCCGCTGTTATCTGCGCTTGTCGCCACACCTCCCCCAGCCTCAGCTTGAGCTTGCTGTACATGGCGGGCTTCCTCACTCACCACAGCTTCTCTTTGGCGTTGAGTTTCTTCGAATCTCCTACCTTCTTCACCCAATGCTTGTTCTCGGTGGCGTTGGGCTTCCCTCTCGTTCAGCACTTCTTGCTTGTGCCTTGCAAGGCTCTGCTCCTTATATCGCACGACGCGTAGTTGCTCCTCGTGTCGTCTGACGAGTTCCTCTCGTTCCGACTGCAACGTTGCTTGCAAATTCGCAACTTCCTGCGCTTGTAGCTCCGTATGAACTCTCAAAGCCTCGCATTGCTGCCTCTGCAGTTCGGCCTCTCCCTGCAGCTGTCCTTGTGACCTAGCAAACGCTGCGTGGTGTTCAACCTGCTGTTGAGTGTGAGCGTCTGCTGCCGCCCGCAGTGCCTCCCGTGCAGCGGCATACTCTGTGAAGTGCTGCTGCTGTTCCTGTCTCAAAGCTCATCTTTAAGTCCGCAAGCTTGCGTCGTGAACCCGGGACTCGGTCCCGAATACATCCCCTAAGTCGTCGACATCCATGGGTATTGCTGACGCTGCCCCTATCTCTTGTGGGGCGGCCTCTATCAGCCTCAAGCGCTCTCTCGGGCCGAAATCTCTTCTGGTCCAAAGGTGAGCCCTGTCGCGTCGGGTAAGGTGAGTCTCTGCACCTCTAGCTCTTCCACCATGGCCATCAGTGCAGCTTACTGCTCCATCACGATGACCAACTCTGGCCGAAGTCCCTCCCCGCTGTTGCTGCTTGAGCTTTCAGGAGTTGATCGAACGGCTACTCGCCGTCTTGCCATCGACGCAGCCATTGCTTGTTGAATGGCGTCTCCCTACGCTCTAGCCCCCCGTTTCATTGGGCTCATAACCTGTTGACAAAGGACTTGTAGTAAGGGGGGCTTGCGCCCTTGTTATTCTTTTTCTTACTGATTTATTATCTTTGTTAGATCCTACACGTACCTAATCTGGTACGCAGCTGTCTCTCCATCAAATCAGGTATCTTCTGAACATTTGGGCCGTGTAACATCCTAGCTCTCTTTCCAACAACCGCAAGCAGTTGCATGGTCAAGCTGTGCCGAGGGTGGGTTCGAACCCACGCCACGACCTCAAACTTATGGCGCCTGACCGCTAAACCGAAAGACATGGAATTCAGACTATCTAACTGTTTGTGCTCTTTTTAAAGACAAATTTTGCTCGACCTTCGATCGGTCATTTCTTCCCTTTGGATTCAAGATGTCCCCCGCCACCTTCATGAGTTCACTTTCTTACTCTTGATCACTAACTCAATTTTTTCTCTCTCAATTTGTTCCCTTTGGCCCACTTTTTGAGTTGCGCCCCTACTTGACCCTCTCTGCCAGTGTCGAATGTCGTACGGTAGTCAGGTTTACTGTTGGATAACAGTGCAATAAAACTTATTTCCCCCCGAACAGCGCGTTATTGTTTCTTAAAGCGAGTATACAGCATACCACCACCGCCTGGTCCGATCATGCGTAAGCACAGCGTTTTCAGCTTACGACGCGTTACGCACCACCGGCAATAATACCACACAACGCGCTGCTTCCGTTTTGCACACGTCACAGACTCCAACCACAGCCTGCGAAAAACGCTGCTATGCTGTCTCCATTCGGGCCACACCAGTGCAGGTCACGCACGCACCGCAACATGACGCCGACCCTTTTGCTGCGTCTGCTGTGCGCCGTCGCCGGCGTGGGCGCGTACTTGAGCGCGAGCGGCCTCCTGCGTCTCCACGAAGTCTTCTCTTCTGCGTCTGCTTCCGCGTCTCCGTCTGTGGAACGGCACGAGGACAACCCGCAGCAGCAGCAGCAACAGCAGCACTCGGACCTGCAGGACGTCGCCTACGACCGTCTCATTGTCGTGCTCATCGACGCGTTACGTGCGGATATGGTGCTAGGAAGTGCAGCGATGCACAGCGACTCAGTGGGCGATTTACAGGAGCGCAGGGCGGAGCTGAACGTCCACATGCCGTTCACAAGTGCGCTCGTGACGTCGGGCCGAGCACTGGGCTACGTGGCGCATGCCAGTGTCCCGACCGTGACAATGCCCCGTGTGAAGGCACTGGTGACAGGGAAAGCACCTGTGTTTATTGACATATTGAAGAACTTCAACTCGCGCGCGCTGGACGACACGGACGCAAACCTCGTGTCGTTGCTGGCGGCGCGTGGCAAGCGCCTTGTGCTGTACGGCGACGATACGTGGCTCAAGCTATTTCCAAGGGCGTTTGCTCGAGCTGATGGCACGTCGGGGTTCTATACGAGGGACACTGTTGACGTGGACAACAACGTCACGAGGCATTTGGTTGAAGAGCTGGACCCGACGATGCAGCATGCAAAAAGTAACGACTGGGATGCCTTGGTGCTGCATTATCTCGGATTGGATCACGTGGGCCATCTACGCGGACCGAGGTCGAAACTGATGCAGGAGAAGATGCAGGAAATGGATCGCGTCGTGCAGCTCATCGTGGACTCGGTGCGAGAACAAGATGCACGGAGAAGGACAAACGACAGTGCAAGCCGACCGTCGTTGATCGTGGTGTGCAGCGACCATGGAATGTCCGAGGTCGGCAATCACGGTGGGGCCACGCTGGACGAATCCTCGGCGCTGCTGATGTTTATGCGTGGTGACGGCGAGTCAATGGTCGCTGCGACTGACTTTCCGTACAAGCAGCAGCGCAATCAGGTTGACCTTGTGCCTACGATCTCTTTACTGTTTGGACTACCTATTCCGATCCATAGCACGGGCTTGCTGCTGGACGATGTCGTTCGTGCTTCGTCTGGATCTGTCATGCGCCACAGCTCATACTACATGCGCGCGTTGTACCGCAATTTCCAGCAGCTGTATGCACTTGCAAAGACAAAGTTTTCCGCCTCGGCTTTGGCGAGTTTTGACCGACAGTACGAAGTGCCACTTCGTGAGCTGCGCCGGAGTCTTCAAGCAGAGGAGAAGGACTTTGATACTAGTCACCAGACTGCATCGATGGTACTCCGAGCCTGTGAGATGCTGCAGGCTACAGTCATGCAGAGTGACGGTTCTGAGTACAACGTGGCTGCGACGTTTTGCGGCCTGTTGTTGCTATTCGCTAGCAGTGCTGCTGCAATGGCAACACTTGTGATGCATTACAAAGTGAAAGCGAGAAGCTGGATGAAGGAGGGCGCTAGTAGCCACCTGGTTGCTATTGTGGGCATGGGCAGCATACTGCAGATTGCCAGCTTGTCGTCGAGCTCGTCGATCGAAAATGAGCACGCTACTGCATTTTTCATGACGACCTCTTTGCTCATCATTGTCGCAGTTCTTTTGTTGCGCCAGGACAACGCGACGACCAATTTTTCTCGTCCACGTGCTGCAGTAGCCATCGTCGGACTGTTGCTGATTGTTACACGAATGCTGCGCGCACGCAATCAGATCATCAATTTCTGGCGACTCAATGGGCTTGTGATTGACCCCAACTTACCTGGAAACGAATTTGCCAACGATGATTCTGTCTCGATCTTGTCCACGGCTCCCATGCTGCCTTCGAACGTTTTGCCGTTGGGCGTCTGTATAGCGTTTGTATGTGGAGTCGTACTGCGAAAAGCTGCGCGACATACCATGAGAGCGTTGCAAACGGGAGCTTTGTCCGATGTCGTTGTGAGTGCTTGTAGCGCACTCTTGTTCGTAGCCGGCATGTTAGCATGCCTCAACGTGAAAGAACTTACGAACCGGAATGTCGTGGACGAAACAGGATCAAGAATGTGGACATGGTGGGTGCCACTGGACGCGGATGCAAGTGCGCGGATGGTGTATGCAAGCATTGCCTCGATCTCGGTGTTTGCTGTCCTGGCTGCACGAACGCTGCGTCGATCGTTGATGGAAATGGTCGTGTGGCTTTTGGTTTCCCTGCTTCAACGTGACGCCAACTACCCGACTCTCTGCTTACTTTGTCTGCAACTGGAATTGGTAGCAAAGCTGCTTGAGCACGAACAAGGCCGTGTCATTCGGCATAGCGGGATCGGCGTGGCGAGTCTAGCATCGTGGCTATCCCAAGCAGCTTTCTTTGCACTGGGAAACTCGCACTTGGTGACCACGATCGACATCAGCCAGTCCTATCATGGCGTATCGTCGTATTCGCAAAGCCTCGTCGGCACGTTGACGTTTGTCAGCGTGTTTTCTGGTCCGCTACTGTGCTTCGTGAGTCTTGCTCAATGGCTCGATATCGATGCGCCTGTCAAAACGATGACGCCGTCAAGAGAAATGCCGAGACCGAATGCTCCATTGTCGGTAGATACAAGATGGACAGCGTGCGCCGCGTTGTTCATCTACCAAACGCTTCGTTTTGCCGTCTACTCGTACGTAGTCGATGAATGGTGGACTCTCTATTGCACTGCTTGCTAACTACTCACTGATGTGCATATGGCTGGTCGTCAGTGTCGTGGTCTACTGTATGCGCTTTCATCTGTTCATCTGGAGCGTCTTCGCTCCCAAGGTCTGACTTGTCGCCGTGCTGTTGGTCTGAAGAATGTACGCTGACGTATGTGACCGTGCTGTTATAGATGTTGTACGAGTTTGCACACCTTGCTGCCTCGCTCGTGCTCGTGGTTGTGCTAGCCCCACCCTCATCGCAACGAAGGAATTGACACTAGATAGATGGCGAAGAAGCATGCACGTACGCACTACAATGTAGATCAAGTCCCGCATGACGCACATCAGATGGCTTGGGGTCGAGTATACGTCAGAAATGGAGGCCCTAACGTCAGACACTCAGACCTCACCCAACACATGTCAAGCACAGACTGTTGCAACAAGGTCTAGAACAATGAGAGAAATATTCAGCTATTTAGCACCTCGCCTGCGTCCAACAACTGCTTCCCAACCAGACACCAAGTACAGACACCGACAGACGTCTCAGGTGGCGCCTCCTTTCCTAACAATTAGAAATAGGCAAAACTGCGAATCGATGCTGAAGGCCACAAAGCTTCGGTGCGTCTCCCCTGCCCGATGCAAACACACGGCAACAGCCAGGATGAACCTTTGGCGGAGCGCGTGCTTACGACAGGTCCTCCTTCTTCGCAATAATCTGCTCCGTGCCACAGGCCTTCAGGACCGTCAGCACCAGCTGCTTGCCGTCGTTGAAGTCCGCACGGATCTCTTCGCCGAAAGTCTCCGGGAACGTGGGCAGCTTGATGTCCTCGCGGGTGTCACCCGAGTCGTCCATGAGCGAGCAAAAGTCGTCGTCCGTAATGTCCAGCAGCGTGTACTCGGCACGCGAGACGAACGGCACCGACGTCGTGTGCGTCGACGGCACAATGTCCTCGTACTTCTTGTTGGTAAAGATGTCGAGCGCCGTAAAGTTGCACTTGGCGTGCCCGTGCTTGCCTGTCTTGGAGGTCGACATGTTCACGACCTTGCACGGGTGGCCCTTGATCATGATGAAGCCGCCCTTGCGGATCTGCCCAGCTTCGCTCGGGTACGTTTCAGAGGCACCGGCATCGGTCGAGTGGAACGTGAAATCTTGCTCGTCGTCGGCCATTGTGTGGATAGGGAGTGTGCGTGTGTGTGCGGCACCGAAAGAACCTGTAAAAACATCGGATACAGCGACAGTTAGTTTAGCGAACAAGCTATAGGGGACGGATATACCTGGCACATACATAGATAGATAGATGGATAGATAGATAGATAGATAGATAGATAGATAGATAGATAGATAGATGCAGGATGCAGCCAGAACGACAGCTCGGGCAGTGGGAGAGACGGCGCTTGCATCGTTCTATCCACCACATTGCGGTGCTAGTGCTGCTGCTCCTGCATCTCCGCCACCGCCACGAGAAGCTCGTTCGCTCGCTTGCTTTGCGCAGGCCTCGAGCGTAGTCGGCGTACCTTGGAAAAGGGGAGACTTAACTGATGATCCAAAACTGACGGCGGCTTTTGCTGGCCAATTATTCGCAACCAGCTGGTCCGACGAGCCACCCACGCACCGATGCAGAGTAAGCGAGCTTGGCAGTGTAAAGCGCGCTTAAAAACCGAGCTTGGCCAGTTGAACAAAAGTAGCGACAGACTCGACTGTAGCCATGTGCGGTGCAGTGCAAAGCGGTGACAGAGCCTCAACACGCCACGAGTCGAACCCGCAACGTTAGAAATTGCGGACGCCAATGCAATAGAAATCCGCGATTTCTTCGACGCGGAACCGGTAGTACCGTGCACAGTACCGGTCCCACCGAAGTAGGTCACGCAGTCGTCGTCGTCGCTGTTTTGTGTTTTTGTCCCGACTCTTTTCACGACACAATTCGATCGCAACGTCATTAGGTGACAGCGAAGCCGCCAGTAGCAGCAAAAGTTGTGCGTCTCCGTTCAGTCCTCACACCGTTCTCCTACGCTTCAAGTCCGCCCTCCACCTCCTCTTCCTCTTCCTCCTCCACCCCGAAGCAGCATGGCCGAGCCCCACATGAAGACCGCGGGCGTCGCCCAGTACATCCGCCACCAGGACGACGTGCCAGCGAACGCGATCGCGCCCACGGACGACGTCGTGACGGAGTTCAAGCAGCTCAAGATGCGGCGCAAGTACCGCTTCATCCTCTTCCGCATTGAGGCCGATCAGGTGGTTGTCGACAGGACAGCGCCGCGCTCGGCCACGTTCCAGGACTTTGATGCGGCGCTGCCGGACTCGGACTGTCGCTACGCCGTGTACGACCACGAGTTCCGCACGGCGGACGGCCGCCAGTCGAGCAAACTCTTTTTCGTGACGTGGATCCCGCAGAACTCGCACCCGGGCTTCAAGATGGCGTACACGCACGCCAAGAGCGCGATTCAGAGCGTGTGCGAAGGCTGCTTCGAGGTCAGCGCCGTGATCAAGAAGGAGGTTGCGCGGGGCCTGGACATTACGGACGGCAACGCCTCGGACTCGAACAGCGAGTTTGAAGACGACTAGGCGGCAGGCAAAGGGCCAACTGCACTGCGTGTGAGGCCGCTGACTCGGTGCAACAGGGAACGCGCCTGGGATGTCAACAGCTCATACACACGCACGTGTATGAGCTGTTGGTGGTGGTGGTCGTGGCTTGATGGCTGGTGTAGACACAAGTGGCTGTATATTGTGGACGTCTAGTCGGGCGGACGAGATTCATCAGGTGCTCTCGTGTGTGTGCTGTCTTCTAGCAATCACCACAAGTGTCGACCAGTGTAATTGATCCATCACTTTGACATGGGGGGAGCTTTGACGTGCTGTCGCTGTTTGTTGCGCAGTGCCAGCATTTGTTGTTTCAGTGCCTGCTCCGCCTCAAGATCCATGCGCTTCCGCTCCTTCGCACGGTTCTCCTGCGCCTCATGCTCGGCACGCTTGCGCTTTTCGTTGCGGGCCTTCTCAACGGCGCGTGTGTGCTTGATGTACACGAAACGAGTGTATTCGTGCGTGAACATGCGCAATACTGCAACGCCAGGGCCGTTGCGACGAAGAAGCATGCTGTATGCAGTCTCTAACTTGCTGAGCGCATACGAATCGTACGGGCGTACAAGGCGCATCACTTCGTCGAACTGTGCTTGAACAGCTGGCGTTATGACCGAAGGTAGCTCCTTCCTTATCGGCACTGAAGGCGGCTCGGTGGCCGTCGTGGCAGAAGCAGGTAGTAGAGAGTTCTGGTTCTCCGCTTTGACGGTGAACGGACCGCACTGCTCCTGAGTCGATGTTGCTGTTGTAGGAGTCCCAGATGTCGACGTGACCGTTGTTGCTGGCGGTAGCTTGGTCGAACTAGCCTCGTTTGACGCAGGTGCACTGTGCGTAACGGAAGGTGCAGCAGCAATGGACGCGACCTTACCATTGCTTGCCTTGGGAGCAGTAGCTGAAGCAGGACCGGAGGCTGGTTCGATGTTGGACGCTGCTGCACCGACAAGGCGGATGATGCGAGCTACACAGGTAAGCCACTTTGTCGTTCGCTGGACATTGATCCGATCCATCTTCGGGGGCCTCATTACTTGCTGAGCCGCTGCGTGCTGACCTGTCGAGCTGCCGTGTAATTTGCCGTCAGTCGATCTTGCTGGTTTGCGTGGCGAAGCACTAGTTCCGTAGCCGTGGCTTTTGGCACCAACAGGATTGATGTAGCACCCGTCCCGCACAAATTTGCTCTCTTTCTTCTCGAAATCCAATCGTCTCGCCTCCTCCTTGCAAGACCCTAGTAGACCACGTGCATCAACCGGAGCATCACAGACACCGCAAATGACACCACCGGTCACACTCGTGAGGCCACTTGGTATCGCTATGTCCTTTCGCACTCCATCCTGCACAATCAAAATTGTCGTTCGCGGTTTTGTCACACCCGTGCTTCCTTCCACTTCGAGAGAGCTTTCAAGCTCGCGAGCGCTCAATCGGCGCTTTGTGCATCGCCAGTGCTGAACGTGCGGGATCACGGACTCTGCTTCTCCGGTGCAGTAAAATAAGTGCTGTCGCTCGTGGAAAGGATCCAGACACACGGCACAAGTGTATTGCTGACTGAAGAGTCCAGGAAACTGGGCCAAGTATCCCGGTGGATCGAACGCTCGTTCGAGACAACGAAATAGTCTCGTGTCGTCAACAAGCTTCTGTGCAGGCGTCGATGGGAGTGCGTACACCTTTTCGAGCTGTGGCACATGGCTCAAGAAGAACTGCAGTACCTGCAAGTGTTTAACGTTGTAGTCAGGCGGATCACTCTTGCTAGCACGCAGGCCTTTGTCGCAATAGCCAACCATCAGGGCTGCTAGATCGCGTATCACGGCAGCAGCACTGTCGTAATCAGGGAGATGCTTTGCAATTGTGCCGAATCGACGCATATCGTCGCGACCGATAAGCAGCCGAATGGGGCGCGTGATCAACTTGGCCAACAAGTCGCCAATGTCCTCAGTACACTCGCGATGACGGTCGCAGTACGCATGAAACTGCATGATGTGACCAGTTCGAAGCTCGACGTGGCCATTTCTTTCGTGCGCGCACATGACGTGGAATTCGCGGCTGCAGCGGACTCGGCGACATTGTATCCGGACGCCACGACTCGAGTTACAGAAGCAGCAGTCACCAGACGGCAGCAGATCTCGCATCAACACTTCCTTGACACCCGGCACAACCTCGTCAACGTCTTGCTCGATACGCTCCTCTGTCTTGGTCTCCACTTCCTTACTGCTCGCGTCCGATGCCGCTTCCTTTGCAAGCTCCTTCTTTGACCCTCCTCTCTCGACAAGTCCAATCTTGCTCTCCTTCACCACGTGCGCAGCCAAGCGACGCGGGTCCCACATCATGCACAGCACGTGCCCAAACTGTACCACTTCCTTCATGCCAGTGTCACTATCGTGTCGAAACTGAGCGTATCGACCCCAAAAAAACTCGGCGTCGTCGTCGCCCGTCTCCACCACCTCCTTCAGAGAGCCTCCAGTTTTCCCGCAGTACACGCACTGGACCTCTTGCCGCTGGACTCCTCGTCGACAGCAGTCGCACCTCCAGTCTGAACTCTCCGGAGCGCTTTCGTCCACTCTCGTGCTCGTTCTATTCGTCTCAACGACGTGCACTGTATCCGCGTAACAGGTCTCGTGTACCACAAGTTGGCAGCTGGTGCAGACGTGCAAGTGGGTGCCGCTCGTGTCGCTCTCAATGACGTCGCACGCGGTGCACCGCAGCTGTTGGTCCCCGCACGCAGTGGTCGCCATGGCGGTCGAGTGTCTTGGCGAAAAAACAATACACTCGAACAATGTGCTTTTTTTGGTGTCCGAAGTGTCGGATAAACTCGAGTGTTCTGCTTTTATTGCTGCTGCGAAGTACCTGGTGAGCAAATCGATGTTCCTTTTTTGGGACAAAAAAAGCACTGCGGAGCAAAGAGGGACTTATTTTTCGGGCCCCCAACGCCGTGTTTACTGCACGTCTCGAAACGCCGAGCGAAGAGGAGTTGTCGCTTGGTCTGAAGCGACGCTTTGGTGTCTCGTGCATTGTTTACTGAAGATAGTACCGATCACAGTAGTGTCAAGCAAACCAATGCACAGTGCTGTAGAACACGTTACCCAAAAACGCTGTAAAAACCGCGTGCCTTGTGTCCAAGTTCTTGGTCAGCTTCGAGACCCCAGATCGTCTTTAGTGCCTATCGCTGAGAGGTAAAGAGCTATTCATTCAGCTAACCCCTGTATACGTCGACGGAGAAAAATCGTGGCAGCAGGAAAATGGTGCCGATCGGTGGTAGCACGCACATTACCCGCAGAATGGGCTGCACGCGTACATCGACAAGCAGGTTGTTTTGTGCTGTCGAGTCCTTTGTCATCTTGCCCTAACGACGGCGGGTGACGACGATGTATCGTGTTGGATAGATCGATGATTTATACGACCACCTGCACACGGGCAGCCAGTATGAGTGAAACGTGGCACATGGCAGCAACATGTCCGCTGCGACTTGGAACCCCTGTCAAAAGGTGTTTACGATAACAGTGCTGCTGTCTCACGGGGAGAAGAGGCTAACACGTCAGGCTAAGATCGACATCGACTGCTTTCAGTAGATGAACTCACAGGTGCTAGTCAAATGGAGACTTTCGGATCCGTAACTTTCGACAATGTGCATTTAACGACCGGATGCGGTTGCGCAGCTATGATCCCTCTTTCGAAACAGTGTTCGCGGTGCAGCTGCTCTGCAGGAACATACGCTGTGCGACGTGTGCCGCCGCGTCGTTTCGCTATAATGTTTGACAGTGATGTCAAACCGGTACACATGTCGTTTCACAGCGCCGGTCTGCGCTTTTTGTGGTTCCAGCGCTCACGCGCCACACAACGAACTCCACAAGTCGCACAGCTACGGAACCACTTGGCCCAAACTCTGACACCGAATCCGCCTGGTAGATAGATACATAGATACATTCCAGCACTGTTTACGCCTATTTCGCACTGCCCAACTATGCGTGACCTGCTTCTACTGACCGTCGTATAACTAACTTGCCTATGCCGTCGCAAAGGCAGGCCCACCATGTCGACCAAACGAAGATGCGCTTCTCCATGCGCTACAGAGGATGAAGACCCTGTCAAGCGCGCGAGACGCGATACCGATGGCACTGGCAGCGACAGCCATAACATGAGCCTTCAGCCGTACCAATCCTGCGGTGATGACCCAGTACAAGCGCCTTCGTACTTAGCTACCGCCGCTCACGTTGAGCCAATAACAGCTGAGAATAATGTTGCAACTGACGAGGGGAGTACAGTGGCAGAGGGCCAAGAAGGCACTGAAGTGAAAGATGGTACAGTCCAATCCGATGCAGTGTTGAGTGGGGCACTTGAGCTGAGCAATGGTGTTGCTACATCATCATTGGGGCTCTTGGTCGTCGCACCGGATTTTCCAGTGCTCCATGACTCGTGGGAGAGATTTGATGAAGCGTTGAAGGCCTATGGAAAAGCCACGTACCAACTGTACGTGATCCGCTCTACGACGTCAGTCAAGCGACGGAACCTCAAGATTGCCGAGAGTGGAGCAAGAGAACACATGGCGGCTACTTGTGATGTTGAACCCGAGACAGAGTTGGGTACGCCGGTGGTCCAGGATGTGCCTGACGTGGAAAAACCACAGGTTGTGGAGAAAACGTTGATTCCAGAACGGTTTCTTTGGTACTCCAAGTCTCTCAAGTGTACGCACGGATGGAAAGATCGTCATCGAGGCACTGGCAAACGAGGATCTGGCGTGGTGCGCTCGACGAGCTGTTCGGCAAAGATGTGTGTCACTCTGCAACATCGAGGACCTGGACCCAACGACTGGAAAGTGGTTGTGACCAAACACATGCAGACGCACAATCACCAGCTGTCGAAAGAACTGTATCTATACTACACGGAGAATCGACGTATATACGATCCGGATTTGCTGGCGGTTGTTGGAAAGACACCTGGAGCCACGCCATCGTCATATGACATGGTCACTGCACATATTGCATCGTTGATCGAGCAGACGAATCAGCGCCCCGGGTCGTATCGTGTACTCTTGTCCCACACCGAACAAAAGCAACGGCATGCTTCGTTAATGGCGTCAGACTCACCGACTCCATTGTTTTCGTTCCCTAATGAAAATGCTTCTGATGGTAGCGCAAGCAAGCAGCTCATGGCGCTTTCGGAGACTGGCGCTGTTGATCAACCACGCTTGCAAATGCGGACTTCTCCGGTTGCCATGGCGCCGCTAGGGGCGACGGTGTTGACACCTGGAACGGTCCCTTCGATAGCGATCGACGGAGGAGGATTTTGCGTACCTCGAGTCTCGGTGAAGGTTCATGCATCCTGGAACGATTTTCACGACTTCATTGCTCAGTACTCTTTTGATACCGCGCAAACTTTCCGTACACGGTCAACGGTATCGGTAGCTGCCAGAAATGCGAAAATCTTGTCTTCTGATGCCGCAAAATCAGGGCGAGATGAACATGATGTTGCAAGCTATGCAAGCTACGCTACAACGTCCTCCTCCCTGCGCCTGATCCCGAAGGAATACAAGTGGTTCTCCAAACTGCTAATTTGTACATATGGCTGGAAGCGAAAAGCACGAGACAAAAGGTCTCGCGGTTTGGTTGATGAAAGCAATGATGCTGGTCCGTGCCCAGCTATGTTACTCGCTCGCATGGAGCGCAATGTAGACGGCGACTGGCACATCGCAATCAATCGTCAAGTGCAGAAGCACAATCACCGATTGAGTGGCTACATTCAGAAGACTAGTGGAAGCAGCAGCGTGCCAGTTCAGTGTGCCAAAAATGATGCTGCTGAACCATTTGCAACTGCGCCACTGATGAACTCGAGTTCTGCCCAACGAAGTTCGAGCACAAATAGCTCATCTTTGCTTCAGGCGCAAGCGATGGCCAAGCTTGGTGTCGGCCATCCACCACTGCGGCCACAAAACCACCGTGAAATTGTTGTTCGCGTTCCCAAACTCCAGTCCATCTTTACATCCTGGGATGAATTTCACGCGAGTCTGAAAGCCTATTCTGATGCTACGTACCAGCTTTATCGCACCAGGACGACTAGCTCAGCGAAGGGAAGGAACAAGAAGATTGCTCGATCGACTTGTGGTAGTGGAGACGATGGAAAAGGCAAGAAGTACGACAACGAAAGTGACTCTGACGTCACACTGAATGGAAGTGTCATTGCGCGCAAGATCCCTGAATCGTGGAGATGGTATTCGAAAACACTCACGTGCACACATGGCTGGAAGGAGCGGCACCGTGGAACAGGGAAGCGCTCTGCGCATGGCGTGCGCTCCACAGCGTGTCCCGTAAAGATATGCGCGACTGTGCAATATATGAATCCGTCCGCGAGAATCCATGTCGAGAGTATCTCCGATTCGGTTGACGCTAGCGACTTGGTGACTTCTGATTGTCACTGGCGAGTTGTGGTAACGAAGCATGTCGTCGACCACAACCACAATTTATCGCGCGAGCTGTATCAACATTACTGTGAGAACCGTCGGATCTACGACCCAGAACTTCTTGCAATCGACACGTCCAATACCAACATGGAGGTCGATAGTATGGTCTATCAGGGAAGTGCCACCGCAGCTTCCGATACTCTGAAGCCCTGCATCATTGATAGTCAAACATGCTATCGGCCTCAGGCGCTTTCAACAGACGCAGGGCTAGCAGAAGACGTGGATCATGCCCAGGTGTTTGGACCTTCTGCCAGTAGCAATGCGGTCGACGTTGAAGCTGATGAAGCAGCCACTACACATCCATCTGTGCCGGAATCGCTATATTCTGTTGATGCGGGACAGCATTTCGTGGCGCCAGGTGGGCTGCTGTCGTACAGCTCTACAACCTCCTACCTGTCGGTCCAAACTGACGGCCAGGAGAGCCAGCAACTTCAGCGAAGTGACCATCAAGAGCATGCCCTGGCAGCATTTGGCGGCAACGCTGCTGGAGGTCCAGCAGTTCGAGGGCACGCAAGCGGCGAAAGTGCAGCCTTGGTCAATGCGGTATCGCAAAACACAAAGTCTTTTGACCACGGCATGCTCGACAATACAGGAATGGCAATGACGTGTGCGATGCCTCCGTCGTGCTCAAACGTGATCGCGAGTAATATCCACGGATCATTGGCCAGAGCTAACTTGGAACGGTGTCGTAACCCGGTCAAGATGATGTCAGAGTCTCGCGAAGTCGAATCTTCCACCCTTCCGGCGTCGCAGCGGACATGCTTCCCGGTTGCCGGTGGCGACACCTACTCAACAATCGCTCCTGCCGGGGCGCCATTGAACCCGAGTGAGGCTTGTTTCGACGACGAAAATGCGGCACTGTTGTATGCTGAAGACATGGAAGGAGTGTGGCAGCCTTCCTCACATGTTGAGATCGCAAAGGTGACTCTACAGGACGGGGAAGCGATGTGGCGTGTGCCGCGCATCGTGCAGCGATATCCTTCCTGGGACGCGTTTCACAACTACCTGGACGCGTATTCGGCTGCAACATTCCAGCTTTACCGCGTCCGTACGACTTATTCGGTGCGCTCGCGCAACACGCGCCTCCGTCAATTGGCAGCAAGCCGGGGACTAGTCGTTCGCAGCAGTGACAGCAATGACAGCGCAAGCTTCTCAGCGGAGTCGGAGCAAGCAGGTGTTTCCGGGCTATCTCGTGCCCACTTGGTACCTGAACGGTATGAGTGGTATTCAAAAACGTTTTTATGCACGCACGGCTGGAAGCGCCGCAGTCGTGGCAGTGGTCAGCGTCGAAGCCACACCGTTCGGGCAGCCGAGTGCCCTGTTAAGGTATGTGCAACACTGCAGCGCACTGAGGGCTCGAATACTTGGAACGTCGTTGTCACGAAGCACTTGACAGAGCACAACCATAACCTTTCCGAAGCGCTATACCTGCAGTATTCGGACGTACGTCGTGTGCGTGATCCTGAAGTACTTGCCCAAGCAGAACAGCTTTGGCGAGGTGGTGCTGCACGCCGTCGAGTGTTTGAGCTTCTCAAGGAGCAATCGCCGAATCAAGTTATTCTCATGAAAGACGTGCACAACCTCGTGCAGCGGTGGCAGTCACAAGAGCGTCGCGCAGGACAAGGCGAGCAACGGGGTGATTGTAACGACCAAGTCAGCGACAGTCGAGTGTGAACTCAGTACTGAACGTGACGACAACAATGACGAGCGCATTTTGGTTATCACGAAGGTCCGGACGTGATGACAAGTGCTTATTCAAGCGAGAAATACCTTTACTTTTTCTGACACTGATCTCTCTATGTCGGTAGTAAGAGACGGCGAAATTTAGGGTAACAATGAGGATGTGGAGCGAGTACAAAGCAAGTCGTTCAAGAAGACTGTTGTCAGGCGGACTCGATCAAGGCCTGCAAATCGTGTCAAGTGATGAACAGAACGTTGGTTCCGCACCACAAATCAAAAGCGATGTAAAAAGATTCTGAAGGTGCGATGAACTTGAAACTAGCTCAATGCCACGTTGCAAGCTTTGCCACAATTTGCCGGATGTAGATGCAGCTGGACTCAACAATGACTCAGTGAAAAACTTGGCTCGAACGAAAGTGTGGATACTCGTCGGAGGTATGGATACTCGTCTGAGGAGCTCTTATATATGACCATCATCAGTGCTCCTCCGACGAGTTGTAACTTTGGGGACGTTAATCGCAACACCTTCGCAGCTCTCAAACTTACTGGATCGTTGCGTGGTTTACATACATCGAATTACAAGTTGATTGATCAAAGTAGTGAACCGGGACCTGCAAAAGGTGCATCACATCTCCACCAAGTTCAAAACATGAAGATCAAGCCAGAAGCACCCTACGCTCAAGCAGTGGCGTCTCCGAATCTGAATCCGATGTCAACTTTGAAGCTTCTCGATCGCATCGGAGTAGAATATAGTGCTTAGGCGGAGAAGAGCTTTTGCAAGGCGTTATAGGCACAGGGCAGCGCGACAAACACTAGACCGACAGGAATTGTTGTACCCGTTGCAGGAAGGTTCACATAACCGATACAATCAATGTCTTCCAAGATGCCTTCTGCGTGTTCACTTTGTACCGAGAAGCAACATGGCTACTGACAGTATGCTCCGATACCTCCAATCTGACATGCGCAAAGCACGCAATGTCCAGTCGACCCATGACGTGTGGTGTAAGTAGCTCATCTTGCCGATCAAACACATTGCCAACGATCGTCTTCGACACGCAGGTTTTATTCGGGGAAACCAAGCTCAATTGGTGACAAAATGTCTGACTAGAAAGTTGAATTGCAACGTAGCGGCTACAGAATGAGCTCGGCGGACGGTCAATGCAATGACCGGGCGGAGGATAACACTCTGAAGAGGACACTCACTAGCACAAAGACGGTATACCTTACTTGGCTAAGGATCGAATACATCTAGCCACAATGCTTGATCATTCTCTTTACAACTATGGTGGAGGAAAACTGTTCAGTGTCTCAAGAGCTGGATTGCTCAGTGTAAAGCAAATACATAAGTTGATTTTGCCGAAGTACCTTTGTCAGAGACTTTTGCTGATGATAGCAAGTTATCCGAGTGCATGTCGAACAAACAGTGTCGAACACTAGTCTCGCAGCACTGAATGTGTATATGAAACAATTAGTGAGTATGTATGTACGAATGAGCGGACAGAAAAGTAAAGGAGTACGAGCATAGAAAGCACCACATGAATGGAATGACAGAAACTCACTACTAGATGATAGTAATATAACACTAAGGATACGTTTCGTACGTAGGAATGTAATCATGCTTAGGACTGTTCGTGCAATTTACGCATACGTTGTAACGTGGTGAGCCCTATCATGTCATACTCCCAAAAAACGGGTCAGCAGAATATTATCTCAATTCAGAATACTCTCTCAGATTTGCCTAGCTGAGTATATATGATAAAACATATTACCGTCGAGGTGGTGTTCAGCACCGCTCCACTTTTGGTCGGTGTAGACCATTATGTCAACCAACTACATCACCAAATGCTGTTATACGCGGGTAGTAGGTGGTGAGCGGGTTGCTACATTTGACATGAATAGCTTGATGAACTTAAAGCAAGATCAAAAGAGGTTTTATCATGCAACGTAACTATATTGCATATAGCATAACGTTTTCCATCTCCAAATACCCTTGTAGTGTAGAGACACATCCCTCTGCGCGTACATTGTACGTGAGGGAACGAGGCGCCTGCCCACACTGTGTCAATGTAGGTAGCTTTTACTGTGTCAGTACAAGCGGAGCGTGTCCCGTTTCACCTGATAGTTCGTCGTGGTCTGTCCAACAACTACGGACGTTTCGTTCATCATACAAATGCTACATGGGAATGAGAATGAATTATACACTAACATATTGGGCCTCATCCAATCAATCTAAAGCGAATGGGCCGCGGGCGATAACATGATTTGACCGTTGGCTAACCGTCTATCAGCGCTATGTTGTTCAAACTGAAAGGAGATGAGCAGCATGCAGCGATTTTACACGTTTAGAGTGCATAAACTCGATGAGGGCAAGCCGAACTAACCTCGCTTTAACAGCAAGGCGCTCAACGGACAGAGATATTGCTAAGCGAGAAGGAAGCTACGCAGTTTGAATGGTCGAGACAGCAGCAATCACATGCTCCTGCTGCCGCCGGGTCATTAAATCACGCTGACCTAAATCCTTGCATAGCAACATATCCATGTACAAGGAAAAATGAAAGGCCTTCTGTTAAGACCGTGTATTGAGCTGGACGACGCCAAAATAGGCTTGTTGTATCACCGAAGAAACAATATAATTAGCTTTTGCTCAGTAAAACTGTTGGAAATGATGTCTTCATTGTGAAAAATCATTTCCTGGTCGACGCTTCTACTGCCAGGTTTGGTAGTTATGGTGTGGCATATGATTAGAAAGGTCGCAGTCAGTGATAGCGCAGGATGGAGAATATTTCACTTCTCGATTGATCAAGTCACTGACGAGGACTCCAGCGAGAGGCTAAGACGCGTCTGGTACTCGTTCATCACAAGACTATTTTTGTTTGCATTCTTTAATTTCCAACACAATCTTCGCTGGACGTACCAAAACGGAACCCTAGGGCTCGAGCGGCACCACTATATGCGTTTCAGCCGCTGAGGAAAGTCGAGAGCCAACTCAGACGACCGACGATCAAGATACCGAGGGCAGCTTTCAGCTCGATTCAAGCTCCTAAGATCAAGCAGGGAAATGGTGATGGGCACATTTACACTCAGAATTTTCGCTACCTTGCGAGATATGTCACAGTCAACGCAGTTCATATACAAAAATATTACGGTGATCATACAGGGCCTTGAGAATGGTCTTGTCAAGACCTACCTGTTTCTCTTGGGGCCGGATACGCTAGAGGCAGCGATGTCTGAAGCTGAACAACGTTGACCTGAGATAGGCTTACGTCAACCTGTTTCGATATCTTCCCTTGCAACGTCAGTGGTTCGGAGGTCCGGGACCGATGGACCTCGTCTAAGTGGATAGATAGCATATGAACTATCTCAACAGGATACAAGCTATTACAAATTGCAATTGATGTCATAAAACAAGGCGCTATATCGATGAATATCGCGTTTCGATATTTTTCTTACGTACGAAAGAACCAAACCAACGTCCGTCGTTTAGCATACGAACTCTCTCAACAGGATACAAGCGTTTAAAAATTGCAATTGATGTCATAAAACGAGGCGCTATATCGATGAATATCGCGTTTCGAAATCATTCTTACGTACGAAAGAACCAAATGAACGTCCGTCGTTTAAGATTGTCCATAAAAACCGGTCCGAACTTGTTGAATGAATGTCAACAGCGTGGCAGATCGTCAATATGATCGGGTTCGGTAGCTTCAAAGCAATCTGCTAATCCAGAAACGTTGAGATAACTTGCAGGTATGAACAAAGATTCACTGACATTACTACTTCTGGTGATGAGGGAGGCCTCATTACTTTCTATATAGATGCTGTGAAATACATGTCAAATCTTTACCTAGTTGAATGTGGCGCATCTATATTCTTTCTTTGAAGCCAACCGCTAGATGGTCAAAGGAGTAATCTCGTTCAACACCAGGTCCTCATAACGAGGATGGTGGTGCGGCTTGCAACGGGCGCATCCGTACCAGTACAGAAACGTATAGTAGGATTGCACTATACTTAATAAATAAACTTGTTCTGATGATTTATGTGCTATTTGGTCAAAGAAAGACTTTTTGAATGAACATGCAGTATTTTTTTTACAAATTACTTCCTATTTGACTTACATGTATCGACAACACAGGTACAACCCGTAACGAATTCAATCCCAGATGTTCGCACAAAACGGCTATGCCTGAATGACAATGTCTTTCAAAACCTTCCTCAATAAAATGTGCGATCAATCTCATGCCCATATTCCGATCAACTACATGTTATAAGATGGATACAGTGGAACTGTAGTAAAATAATGATCCTACTGAATTTGGATTAAATTTGGTGTCATCTTTCGTCACGTTACAAGCCACTGATTAGCTGGCAGTATCGAATAGTGAAATTACTACTAATTGTTTGCCAGACAGCCATTTAATGAATGTCAGCGAGCACTTAAAATTGCATGGATGATCAACGAGTAGTGCGATGACCTGACTCGTGATTCGGTCATTTTAAATTAATGCACAAGATATCAGTGTCAATGGAATGTTAGGCCTTGAAAGCAATCTGAAGACGGCTGCGTTGACCCATAGACAATGCCGAAGTTCACCACTCGAATAAGATAAGTGAACTGATAAATTTATGCTTGCCTAGCGGGCAGAAACAAAAAAGGCATTTTTTCACTGTGGCATCATGGTGATTCTAGTACGACTGCAAAATCGCCTGTAAAGAAATTGAATGTTGCAGCGATATCATACTTGTACTAAATTAAGAGAGATCTAAGTACCCACGCACTAGAGAAACAAATTGTGCATTTAACATTACTGAAAGCCATAGCCGTTATATTCTATAGGTGATAAATTTCAGAAAATGACTGAGACATCGGAGGCTTAGTGTGGTCATAGATCAGCTTTAAGCACTACAATATCGATCGAATAGAGCGAACAAAGTGTATTTTTTGGAGACAACTCAGTTGAATTTACTTGAATCTTAAAGGTTCTCGAGCGATCTGA